TTTACAGACTGTACTGACAGCACTGAGGGAGTGCTGGAGGGTGGAAGTGAGGGGGAAGGTTGGAGAGGGCAGCAATCATGATGTCAGAATAAATTACTATTGTGGAAGTTTGCTCAACAACACGTGACTATATTGTTTGAGGACTAAGATGTTTTCAAGGTGCTCAGCTTCAGCTGTGAAAGCTCATATTGCTACTTGTCTTTCAACTTCTGTGAAAATCACTGAAATTCAGCGCAAGTGTAGGAGCATTTAAAGTGAAAATTTGAAGTTCCTTTTTCCTTTCCCCTGTATTTGCAAGGCGATGACTTTTACCCCCTACTATGCCAGTAGTTTTGTGTTCACAGTAAAACGTGTGTGTTGAGGGCAGGAGGATGTCTCTTTTTCTTCCAGGAATCAGCATTCTTAGCTAAAATACCGTACCTGGAAGATTGGCTTCTTAGAGGATAATCAAGCCTTCAGTTAAATCCTGACATTCTTCATATGTCGTAGCAGAAGTATGAAGATATAGGCAACTGCAGCCTTTGGCTTGCCTTTCTCACCAGGGAGGCTGGCTTTCAGAGGTTTCTCAGTTTATCTGAGGCAGGGTGAATCTGGGCCCTGCTCAAGTGATGCTGAGCAGCAACGATTCCTTGTTAAATTTTGAGGAGGTCAGCACTGCACAAGTGGAACACACAAAATGGCCAAGTACAAATATATCCTAGTATTTTTGTATCTGCAAAGGCAAGTTCCAGAGAGGATACTGACTGGATGGTGAATTGACCTGGTGCAGCCAATTGCTTGTAGCTGTGTTGAACAGAAGGCAAAATTGGAAACTATTGCTACAGTAGTTTTTCAGTAAGATGGAATTTTCAATACCTGAGTTTTTCATTATGGATGTTGGTTAGGAGACATGGCTAGCAGGCCGCAGATGCACTTTCCTTTTTGATTTTGGTGTGAGGGGAAAAGTCATTTTTTATTCTTTAGATAACTCTTCTGCTTTGTCCCTAGAAATTTCTGCGTATTTTAATGCCTTTCTTAGTTTTAGAAAGTTAGAAAGGTCGATGTTCTTACTTTATTGTCACTGCTTTCTTAAAGTTATTTTTTCAAAAATAAATAAGGCATTGCTTCATCTCAGAAGTTGATAATGCAAGTTGGTAGTCTAGCCTGGTGTGGGTCTAAAGCTGTTTCTCATGAGAGGTTAACAAAAACAAAAAAATTGTTAGTATTCAGGTTTGTCTGCGTGTCATATAGGTAGTTACCTTCAAAGCTAGTTAAGAAATATGTCTTTTGCTGAAAATTTCCTTGAACATCTGTTTGGATAGGTAGTCCTGTTAGGCAGTAGACCTTTTTTGTGATGTTGATACAAAGAGGTTTTCTTTTAACTGCTGGCATCTCCAAATAGCTTGGTTAGGGAATGAGTTTTCCATTATGTTTTATTTCCTAGTTTAAGAAAAAGTAACTGTTATGAGAGAGCAGAGGCAGTGAGTTTGACAGAGGGAATGGCTGAGCTAGGTTCCTTGCTTTTTCAGTCCTTTCTTGCCACCTATGTTAGTGTAAAATCCTTTGAAAATGGAAGGTACTCGTGCCAAGTGTTTTGAAAAGTTGGTTGAATGTCGTAGACTGAAAATGCTAACACGTCAGTGTTACAGTTTGTGTGAAAGAAAATTATCATTAGAAATGTTTAATCAAATTTGTGAAAGTTTGACCTAAGCATAGGAAAAGCAAGGACACAGTCTGCACCCAGAAATATGTGACAGCTAGTGATATGCCTTGGCATAAACTTGTTCTGCACTGGCCCTTAGGATGTAATGATCTCAGTACTAAAAAGCAAGATGTAATTTTTCTCTTCGGATGTTTGGAAATATTTTTTTTTCTGAAAATGAAACATCTACTGTAACACTTCCTGTATGATGTGTGTTTTGCCTCAGGTTCCCCATCACTGTTACTGTTGGTTCAAATCCATTAGTTTTCTCAGAGGAAAGTTTTTGATAGCCAGACTCTTGCAGCTATTGGGGTTTTAAAAGTATCACTTGTCATACGTACAGTGCTGCAGTGCTGCTTGTGCTCTCTCAACAATTTCCAGTTTATCCTCATTGCAGAATATGCAGAACTTACTCATATAGCGCCTGATTTCCTACCCGCTTTGGAAACCAGAACGTTAGGTTTGGGGGCTAGAGTACTGCCTTTTAGGGGTGTGCCTCTGAGTCAAATTTCTGCTGAAGTTTGGGGTAGAAATTGACTTTCTGCAGTGAGAACATGTGATAAATTAAACGGGTGCTGGTAGTCCTCAGGGCCTTCCGCTGTTGGTCGTGCTGTGGCCAGTGCCCAGGTAAGTATTCCACACCTTAGAGAAACGAAGTCAAAGCTGTTCATCTTATCTGTTTATTGTATGTGCTGTAGTTTCATCAAGACCTCTGGGAATATGTGCTGCATGTAAGAGGGTGTACAGGCAGAAACTCTAACATAGTTTCACACATATGCATTAATTTGAATGACTAGAGTCGAATTAAGCTCCACCCAATATGCGCTAGTCGTGTGTGCTTTGAACTCCCGTATGTATTTTTTATGTACTTTTTATTAGTAAATTTAAAACTTTTAAAGCATATATGAACATTGCTATAGCATCTCTAAGCGTTGGTAAACGTTTTAGCAAGGCCTTCTTGTAAAAAATGGTATCTTTTTTCTAGGTTTAAAGTTACTTAACAGTGCTCAGTTGACTTTTCCTGTTTCCTCCTTGTGCTGGTATAGTATTGTGGTATGAGAAAGCTTAGTAAGACCTGGTGGTGCTAGAGCCTTTAAATTTTACTATTCTGTTTTTTCTTTATTCTAAGTATGAATTAGGTGTTAGAATAAAGTATGAATTAGGTGTTAGTCTATGGTACTGATCCTGAATTGTACTTTGTATATGGTATCGTTAGGCCAGCCCTAAATCAGTGGTGGTGAACCTTACTCTTTGCTCTTTCTTCTCGTTTTTTGTAATTTCCTATGTTCTTCTCTCCTATCCCTCATGCTTTTAGCTACAGACTTTTATTTTAAATAATCTTAGGTTTATTAATAGGAGGGTTGAATACTGACTTTGTAAAGTTTACTCTAACTTAACGGATGTTACTGTCAGTTGATATGCAGTCTGGTTGTATTTCCCTGCTCACGTCTAGATCAGGTCAATTTACTGTGAGAAGCAGGAGTGATGATAAGATAGGTGACTCTTATTCTGCTGACCCTGCCAGTAAGCCTAGTGGGGAATCCATTCCCGGACTGCTATTGTTGAGGGTGATGTTGGCAAGATAAGGAGTTTGTTTTGTTGAGCACTGATATGATCCACATCTGTGGAGTGGTTGATATTAGTGGAGCGCGTGGATGGTAACTAGTTGATCTCTTCATAAAGAAGAGATTTTTTTACATCTAATTCCAGAACAATTAGTAATCTATTTGACTATTTTTTTCTTAAAATTTTTTCTTTTTCTTATTGTTTTTGAACTCGCCATTTAATTCCTATCTTGAATAACCTCAAAATGGTAAAATTCCCCATCAACTGTGTCTCTTGTTGATCTGATTTTTTGCTTATTTATCTAAATGAAGTAGAAATCTTTTTTTAATAATAAACCATCTTGAGTTTATTTAAGTATCAGGTTCCCCTTCCCACCCCATCCTCTCTCAGAAAAGAGATGCTTTGTTTTGGTTGCCTTTGGCTGTGTATGTACTTGATCCTATGCACAGCAGTACATTAACATGTGTGAAATATTTTGCTTCTCTATGGAAAGCTACCCTAATCATTGCAATCCTTGTGGCTCAGTGTTTTGTTGTACATTTCTTAGGGCAATAACATGGATGAGCAAAACCAAGTATGGCAACTTGGGCAAGCCTAGTCTTGCATGAAAGGGTTTGATTCCCTTTCCCTTCACCAAGGCTTTGTAGGATTTACGTGTTTTTGGTGGCATTTTGTCACTGGAATTTGTCTAGCCAGTATTTACAAGTGTCTCAAGGTTTCTCCTCACTGAATTTTCTTACCTCGTTCTCTTCATTTATACTTAGTGCTGCCTTCCACAGTCCCCATGGCATTTACCTATGGCACTTTGGTAGGCTGAGAAACGCTATTATTTTATAATGTTCTGATTTAACCAGCATTAAAAGTAAGGTAACGTTTGTATACAAGAATACTATTATATTTAAAATCTCTTCAGTAAATCGTGACGGATATTACCCTTAATTTCTGGTAAAGAGTTTAAATTCCAGTCATTCTGCAGTGGGTGCCTCACTCTCCTTTGCAAGTCAGGTTAATATATTAGTATTGTAATATATTAATATGTTAGTGCTCAGCGTCATGCCTGAAGTAAGCCCTTGATAACTGAAATGGGAAGTTTGGGAGTTTGTTGATCTCCTTCTTCTTCTCAGCAAGTGTGAGGAAATCCACCAGTAGTGTGTTTCTCCATATCCCCCACCTCAGAACAAGGAAGCATCACCATGGTTTGTTTCTTTCTCTTTCTATCTTCTTTCAAAATCAAAAGATGCAGAGAACTAATTGAAGTGCTGTCTATAGGAGTCAGTCTGTGGATAGCTTCTTTCCTTTCTCCCGCACTAGTCCAGTTTCACTGATGTTAGCAACAGCAGAAAAAGTAGTGCTTTGGCTTTGTTGTCAAGTAAGTGCATTCTAGGGCAGAGGATGATCAATTAGCCACCTCTCCCCTCCCACCCCGATGATTTGTGCAGGCAGTGATAGCATAGATTTTGATGCCACCTTTTTGGGTTTCTTGTTTGGGATTTTGGCATTTTCTTTCTTCTTCTTTTTTTTAATGTTTGCAGTTCAAGTGAATATAACTTGAAATTATTTTGCTCTGAATTCTCATTCTTGACTGACTTAATCCACTGCATCCATTTGTATGTTTCCTGTATGTTTGGACTAAGTTAACCATTGATTTTGGGTGAAGTTAAAGTCTTTCTGCTGTGACAGAAATATGCTGCTATATATTTTTTTTGTTGTTATGTTAGCTATTTTGTAATATCCTGCTATCTTCTAATTGCAGCCGATCAGATGATGATTCTGGGTCAGCATCGGGTTCTGGATCTGGTTCAAGCTCTGGAAGCAGTAGTGATGGAAGTAGCAGCCAGTCAGGTAGCAGTGACTCTGACTCTGGGTCAGAGTCAGGCAGTCAATCAGAGTCAGAGTCTGACACATCTAGAGAGAAGAAACAAGTTCAAGCTAAGCCACCAAAAGTTGATGGATCTGAGGTAAAACGAAACATATAAATGAACACTTGTGGGGGGAAAAAATCACTGTGCAGTTAGTTTCAAGAGCAGTTTTCATTAAAGAAAAGAATAAAGAGGATGAGGTAATCAAAACATTGTTATTAAAATTTAACTTGGGAGGGTTAGTGAAAGCACGTGCTTAGCTGTCATAACATTTTGTTATGGGCCAAGTTTTTCATAGATGAGTACTTGTCTTGATGCTCTTAAATTCTTGCATTTATAGGCATTCATGATTAAGTACCTACCTAAAATGTTAATCGTCAAAAGCACCTATTTACTTACTGCTCATTTCTGAAGATGAAGCCACGTCATCCTGTTATTTCTAACATTTAATTTTTGAAGTTATCTCTCTAAAACTTGTTTTCCTCTTATTAGCAATAAATGGCTTTATGAAAATTGTAAGTTTACATACAGGTGACTTTCTGCATGACAGAAGTCTGCTAAATTTAGGAAAAAACTACTGTTTAGAAATCCTCTTGAATCCAGTGGATCAAAATTACCTGAACTCTCCTCTGTTTCTCTGTGTAATATGGGCTTTATTTGGATGATAGAACATGTATAAATTAAAGGTATTAAAATACTCGTTACCATAAGATCCAGCCTGTTAGGAATGCTCTTTTGTATTTTTGTTCATGTACTTCACTATTCCCACATGAAGCAAAACTACTGGAAGATTATGTCAACTGAGTGGCCTGAAAGGATTTGTCTGGACCAATTTAACAATTTACTTTAAAAATATTTTACTGTAATAATACAGAGACCTGCACAACTATTGTTGACAGTAAAAATTGTGCTGGCGATTCTTACGTAGTGTTCTGCTTTGTAGAAATCTTACTGCTTGAAATTGCTGTCTGTTATTATTAATGCATCCGGTATTTTATGATGAATTTTTATTATTGATAAAATTGAGATCAGTCTCACTAGTGATGCTGCTTATGTTAAGAAATGTAAGTATGTGGTAAACTTTAAAGTTTCAGTATTTTGAAATGACTCTCTGTCTGAATTCTGATTCAGTTTTGGAAGTCCAGTCCAAGTATACTTGCTGTGCAGAGATCAGCAGTGCTCAAGAAGCAGCAGCAACAGCAACAAAAGGCACCTTCATCAGACAGTGGTTCAGAAGAGGTAAATTAGTTTTTTAAAATGTGAACATAAGTGTCTCATTGCCCCATATGCTGGAATAAAATAATGTAGAGCCAAATTGTATTCTCTAAGTGTGTGTAAAAGTCTGGTTTTAGTCTATAAAAGTAATATACAAATAGCGGACAGGCTTATGAGGAAACGTAAAAATATCTTCAGTTGCATGTTTCCAGCTGAGTTATGCCAAATTTGTAGCAGCCTAGGTTATTTGGTGTTTTTAGCTAGGTAATCTGATGTATGGACAAAATTTTCAGGTTATGTAGTACAGACTTTCATTGTGTTTTTGGCTTCTGTGTTTCATAAATACAGTTAAAAATGCTAAAAGACTTCTCAGCTATTGTTTTTGTATACAGGCAGCTGCTGTAGTTGTCAAAAAATACTGCATGCAGTAGAAAACTGCATTTTTGCAAATTTCATAACAATTATTACAAAAGAAATCTTGTATTTTAAGAACTATACCTCGATAGATATTTTAAAATCTAAATCATGGAGTAAACAAGTGTCGACCTTGTGCAGTCGGAACATTTTCCTAAGGACACTAGTGACTGTGAAATGGAATTTATGTATAAAGCAGGCATTTCATATCTCCTTCATTATAAAAATGAAGCACTGTGGTCACAAATCTTTACTCGTCGTTCCAGATTTCTCTTTTGGTATGGTTTAGCTGTTCGTTGTTAAAACAAAGGACCCAGTCATATATCGTTAAAATATTAATTTGAAGCTATTGCTAAGAATTCTTTTTTCAACCGCTGTTTTTCAGAATAAGAACAATCTAATCCTAATCCTTGTGAGATTGGTTTTAAGAAAATCTAGTTTTAAGACGGTTCATCAATTTCTTTTCTTGTTGACTGGAAAGAGAAGAAACCTACATACTCTTCTCAAACTTTTCTTAAACTGGTGCTTAAATGTGAGAGAATATGAAAGGTGACAGAGCTCTGAAATGGCAGGAGATATTTATTAGGCTTTCGGTAGAATTTCATCTCGATTTATTAACTTGCAGCAAATTAAACCATGACTATATTTTACCTAGGCACATTGATTATTTTTAAGTCAGGTTTTTGGTGGTGGTTTCTAAAATTCTGCTGACATGATATATTCATAGATAGATAAATACAACAAAATCACCAATCCTCCTCTTGTTCGGTATCATTAGGTACACTGAGGGGGATGAAGAGGATAAAACATGAAGAACATGATTCCAATGTGAAAGTGGGAGATGAATTATCTTTTAAATACTAAAAATACTTGATTCTTTTTGTGATAATGAATCGTGTATATTATTCTTCATCTGCAGGACTCATCTAGCAGTGAAGATTCTGCAGATGACTCATCCAGTGAAACCAAGAAGAAAAAACATAAAGAGTAAGATGTTTTCATAAACAATATCCCATCATATTTTGTCATGGTGGTGTATGCTCATAATTACCCGTGCTTCATTTCTCCACACTTGACATACTAAATTCCCTTTTTAATTCATCTTTATCTTGTCCTTCTCAGTTTTGATTGATGCTTTGGAATACTTTTAAAGTAAAAAGTCTGAAAGAAACATATACATCATACCTATTTTCTGAGCAAAAGAGCCTGTGTTACCTACAGGCTTACTCAAAAACATTTTTCAGCCCTTTTATGTTAAAAATATTCTTAGGTGCAGCATATTTTTGTGCTGAGGGTCCTCCCTAAAAATCATTGAAGAAATAGGATACTACTTCAGCAGGTTGTCTGAGATCACATTTAAGTTGGAATCCCATAGGTTATGCCAAATCCTTTTTGATTTTTCTCTGAACTGTTTAGAATTTATTACATGTCTGACAGTAACTGGCTTTATTGACTACTCAAGGAAGTTTAATTGAAATTAAGCTGTTCTTAAGCTGTAGATATAGAAGTTTGTGAAAAGGATTATACCTTGTCCTCATGACAATGAGAGGAGAATAGACTCTGACCTATGTTTTTATGAATGGTATATAGCAGTTGAATGTACTCTCCTACCTTTTCTCCCAATTAATGAGTCATCTCAGTATTCAGGGTTGCCAGTGTAATGTCTTTGAGAAGCATTACTAGAAACTAGTAACCGAATAACCTCATATACTCAGTACTTGAATTTTGTTTTGACTATTTTGAACGAGCATGTTGGCAGTTATTGTCCGATACGCAGATGAGAGATTTCTTGTTTAATAATGTGGCACAGGATCAAGCCCTAGAAGGTGATGTTTTTTATTTGTTGTCTCTATCACCAAATAAATGCAGATTTTGGATTTGCATTTTTTTTTAACTTACTGCATGCATAAAAAGGCTTTTAATAATACAAATGATGCTGTAGCGTTGGTCAGTGTATGTATGTGCCTTGGAACGATGGAAACGTAATTTCTTCCAGGACCGATGCATGTTTAAGTTGCGGGGAGAGAGGATGTCAAAGCACTGATTCCTAAGCTTCCTGATCTGATATTTAATGCAGAGGTCTTTGAGTGATAATCCACCTCTGAAAAACGTTAGTACTGTTCCAGGGCCTTGATCAAGGAGCCATAAACCTGATGATAAATGGTAGTATAAAGATTTAGCAACCTTTCAAGAACATATGCCAGACCTTCTCCCCCCACCCTGCCCCGCTTTGATCACAAAGCTATTAAGATTAAATTTGCCTGTACAAACTAATTTGCCTGTACAAACTCGGAATCCAAAGCAAGATGCTGTTGATTGGGGGGTACATCTTTCCTGTTGCAAAGTAGAAGATCTCAGCTAAGCAGGAGTAAGGAGGTACTGCCTCTCAAGAGTCACAAGCTGTTTGCTTGTAGTATCTTGCCTGTTTGTGAAGCACCGATTTGAGAACTCAGTGGGAGCTCTTAGGAGCCAAATGCCTCTCACAAATTGCTGCAGTTCTAGTCTTTCTGGATGCCTCTCAAATGTGCTTCTGCATTATTCTTCGTTCCTGTGGCAAAGTTGCTGATTCTTCACACGAGGCACAGGGGAACATAGCTATTAGAGAATATTGGACTCTGTGTCCTAATAATGTTACAGTGTTTTTATGATTTGAGCATGGATAAGCTACAGTAAATGTGGGTCTTTCCAGCTAAAGTCTTGCGAAGTACTTGGGTTTTTTAATATCAGTCTTTCTTTAACATATTAATTCACTTCTGTAATTCATAGGCAAATTCAAATTTTTGTAATTTATGTAAACATTCAGATCTTTGTTTTGGAGTTTTTCTTTTTAAATCTACCTCTTGATAATAGAAAACTTGGCCCAGAGGTGTTGACTTTAGGTATTTTGACTTGTTTATTATCTGTTCATGATAATTTTCTGTCCTTTCAGTTGATGCTGAAATAACTGTTAGAGGATTTCTGTTTCTGTTAAGAAGGTTGAGATTACAGCAGCAAACATGTAGATGAATACTTTGAGTAATGTGAGTTACTGTTTTGTCTTTCAATATGTACAGTGAAGACTGGCAAATGTCTGGGTCAGGGTCAGTATCAGGAACTGGCTCCGACTCTGAATCAGAGGAAGATAGAGAGAAAAGCAGTTGTGAAGAGAGTGAATCTGACTATGAGCCAAAAAACAAGGTCAAAAGCCGGAAACCTCCAAGCAGGTAAGAAGTCTTGCATTTTGCATGGTCTGGTGCTGTTTCTAATTAATAATCTGTGCACTGTACACTATACATACAAATGAAAATGTAAATATTTATTACAGAAATTGGAGAATTTTTTTAAGCTACAAAAGATGTCATCGTATCAGTGCTTTGTAGTGAATGCCTCTTTCCTGTGGGCTGTAACTGAAAGTGGCATAACTGAACAGTCATGAAATAAACATATTCAGAAACAAATACAGATGATTTGTCGTTTTCCCGTGTTGAAACCCCATTGTTTTGTCATATCTTATTGTCTTAAGAATTAAGCCAAAAAGCGGCAAAAAGAGTACAGGACAGAAAAAGAGGCAGCTCGATTCATCCGACGATGACGACGACGACGACGAGGACGATGATGATTATGATAAGAGAGGATCTCGTCGCCAGGCAACAGTCAATGTTAGTTACAAAGAAGCTGAAGAAACTAAGACAGATTCTGATGACTTGCTGGAAGTCTGTGGAGAAGATGTCCCACAACCTGAAGAAGATGAATTTGAAACTATAGAGAAGTTTATGGACAGTCGAATCGGCCGAAAAGGAGGTATTTTTTTTTTTTTATCGGTGTTCTTAAGATGCTGAAGTGAGTTGTGTTACAGCTTCAGCAATTGTTCTCAGCTGTAGGTCACCCATGATGTTTGTAAACAGTAATTTTAAAAATACCAGAAAGTCATCTTGTATTGTTTTTCACCCTGAAAAGGAGGCTCATTAAATAAAGTCCCTTTTCAAGCCTTATAAAGTAAAGCATAGCACTTATGTAACTGAGTAATGCAAAAAGAAATTAGATAAGTGGAAAATAGCTCCATATTGCATAAATGCATACCATGTTTTCACAGCACTGTCTGTACGCTTTCTGATACCTGATAGGTATACATTGTATACATTGGGAGGGGAGAAAGTAGACTTGGTAGGACAGCTAAGCAGTAATCTGAACTCTGAAGGATGGTGTTGGGAAGGCTGAACCATTGAGATTGTGGTTTCAGTTATTCCTGTGCAAATTGTCTGAATACATTGCAAAGTGTGTCTAAGGTTTCGGTGGCATGCTTGCAGGTGAACTTCTACAAGTGTTGCTGTGAATGATGGTAAGGGTGTCATATTTCCCCCAGCAGATAGGTTGCAGTGTCCCGCAGTTCTCTGTGTGTGTTTTGGCCTGTAAATTAGTGTTCTATCTATAGAAAATTTGGGCCCCTTACACTTCAGAGCTACCTTTTTCTGTTAATTATAACCAGTGTCTAGAGTTTCTGACCCATCTTGGAGCTTGCATTGTCTTTTCTCAACTCTCTTCTCCTGTGCTGTCCTGAATTCCAGTCTATTCTCAAGTCTTTTACTCCAACACGCAGTGTGAACACCACTGTGTTCAAAGCCTTTTGGACTATGCTTGTTATATTTTGCTTGTTCAGATGTTGTCGCTGTTTGTGCTGTCCTTTGTTGTTGTCACTCTCTGTCATATCTGGCCCCTGCGGCTGGCTGAGTCCCATTCCTTGCCTGACCCTCCTTACAGAAATGAGCCTGTTACCTGATGCTAGTACGCTTCAACTGGGACGCAGACTGTATTTAATTAAAAATTTCCTTAGATAAGGTTCCAAGGGCAGGAAAAGAAAATGCAGTAATATATGTCTAGGAAGAAATATAGGATCCCTAATAGCAGGTTATTGATGTCTCAGACCTGACCAAGCATAACGTCAGACGTCTAATATATGTTCAGAGATGAGAAGGATATAGTAGGGAAGACAGCAAGTAATGTTACTGGAGCATTCCCTAGGGATCAGTAGGGAAACTAGGAATACTAGGAAAATTCTAGTAAGAAAAGATGAGATATTACAGGTTAGATGCAGAGGATTTTTGGTTGCTTTTTTGATTTTCTGTTGACTTCTTGTGCATGTGTTAACATATCTATATCGTAATTGCTCAAATAAGAGTGATTACCTGAGAGCTGTAGATATAATTTATTTAAAAGCATCACTGATTGCTTTCTACAGCATAATTCTTATTGGTTAATTTATGGCAGTGCACACTTAATTAAGGTTTATGGTATGGTTTCCTTCTCAGCCACTGGTGCTGCAACCACTATCTATGCAGTTGAGGCAGATGGTGATCCAAATGCTGGGTTCGAAAAGTCAAAGGAGCCAGGAGAAGTACAATATCTTATTAAATGGAAAGGCTGGTCCCACATCCATAATACTTGGGAAACTGAGGAGACTTTGAAGCAACAAAATGTTAAAGGAATGAAGAAACTGGACAATTATAAGAAAAAGGATCAGGAAACAAAACGATGGTGAATATTTTTATAACTGCTTCCATGTTACATATTTTTATAGCAATATAGATGTGTTATTGTGTTTCTGTGAGATCTGTTGCTACTTTGTGAGGGCATGATTCAAGACAAAAACTTTAAAAAAAAAAAAAAAGTTTGAGGCCTCCCTAACACCTTACAATCCTGTAAGATTCTGAGCATGCTGACTCTTTTGTTGAGCAGGTGACGCATCATGTAAAATTGGATCTTTAAGCAGGCGGCTTCTGCTCCTGAATTTTAGTGTGTTTGTTATAAATGAAGTTTGCACAAGATGGGTGGGTTTGTTTTGTTTTTAAGTCTTACCTCTTTTACTAGTTTTGTAGTTATACTTTGATCAGAGTGCTTCAGGAATCAGTGCAGAGATTATTTTGCTAAGTGTTTAGTTTTCTTGGCTCAAACTTCTCTCAAAGCCTCAGAGCTAAGAACTGTAGAAATCTGTACATTTTAATGCCACTTGTTTGATGTTCAATGTCATTAGTATTTTAATATCGTCTACAAACACTGGTGGGATTTTTAGGGAATCTTACTCATAAAATGCATTCTTAGAGTGAGCCATCCCTGATGTTGTTCCGTGAAAGTATCCTGTGAAGTACCCTGCACACGGTTGAGAATAGATACTCTTGATTTATCTGCGTGACAAGTGCAAGCTGTAGTGTCGTCTTCATACGCTTCCTCAGTCGTTAGCGATGAGGCACCTAGGCCAGGTGGAACGCTTCTCTAGCGAGATTTTGAGTTGTAGTCCCTTCAAAGAAGCTCTCTGAGCAGCATTCCTGTGATGCTTACATTCAGAGCTTTAGAGTTACCGAATTTTCTTAGTTTTAGAACTGCACAGTGTAATAAGCCCTGTAAATAAATTCCTATTTCAGGCTGAAAAATGCTTCTCCAGAAGATGTGGAATATTATAACTGCCAGCAGGAACTTACAGATGATCTACATAAACAATATCAAATAGTGGAAAGAATAATTGGTACGTAACAAACTTGCAGACAGAAAATAGTGTTGAGCATATTACATGCTTATTGCTTGTATATTCCATTTGTAGTTAAGAAATTTAGAGTATTGATGTGACCAATGTTTTAATGCAAAACAAAACTTCTGATAAAAGGTTTATTCTACTTTCTTTGTTGTTAAACTAGTTTAAATTGTCTTGTTTAAAATGAGCGTTTTCTTAAAATACAGAAAGAGAATACTGAACTGATATTTCTGATGCGTTTCTGCAGCTCATTCAAATCAGAAATCAGCAGCTGGTTATCCAGATTACTATTGCAAATGGCAGGGTCTGCCTTACTCAGAATGCAGCTGGGAAGATGGTGCTCTCATTGCTAAAAAATTTCAGGCACGCATTGACGAGTATTTTAGCAGAAATCAATCCAAGACCACTCCCTTTAAGGACTGCAAGGTAAGCGTGTAATTGCAATGGGTTTATAATCAATTGTGATAGTAAGTGTTGTGCATCTGGAAATAACATGGAAATAACATATTACATAATATTTTTTATGTTATTCAGAATAATAATAATGGGATATGTATACATATGTGTGTATAGAGGAGAGAGAGAGAGAGCGCGAGCGAGCAAGTATCACTGCTGAGAATAGCTTTTTGTTTATGTTTGTCCCCTGCTCTTTTTACTGGCATTCATAGATGAGTTTAGTTTCATTTGTTTTGAAAGTAACCTTTGTGAATGTGTTAATGTCTTTCCTGTTGTGAAATTTAGATCAGCAATCAAAATAATTTCAGGTGTTGCTGTATGGCCTAGTTGTCTGTGATGGATAAAGACTAGGTATGGTGACCCAACACATTTCTAACGCTATGTTGCTTCAACAGGAAAACATTTTGGTAGCTTCTGTTAGTCCTGTTAGAGGACTGATGTATAATTTCCTTCTGACAGGTTCTAAAACAGAGGCCAAGGTTTGTTGCGCTAAAGAAGCAACCGTCTTATATTGGAGGGCATGAAAGTTTAGAATTAAGAGACTATCAGTTAAATGGACTGAACTGGCTTGCTCATTCATGGTGCAAGTAAGTATAGTCTGAAATGAATTTTTCTTTGTTTGTAAATTGTAAGATGTGATGGTAAGTCATCTGTTAAAAGAAAGCAAACTTCTGAAAGGTCAACATTATTTTTATAATTTTAAAGTAGATATGCAAGGAACATGTGCAAGCTTTTTGTTAAACACACTTGAAAAATAAGTAGTATGCTAAAAATTATGTGATTTTTGAAATTGTTTCTAACTGTATCTAAATAGACTTCTTGGAGATTTACAGTTGCAAAATCTTCAGAATTTGCATGAGTGTTTTTATGCTCAAAAAATAATAATCTCTTCTTGTCCATTTTTCTCTGCATTTTTCAGAGGGAATAGTTGTATTCTTGCGGATGAAATGGGTTTGGGTAAAACAATACAAACGATTTCTTTTCTGAACTACCTATTTCATGAACATCAACTATATGGACCTTTCTTGCTCGTCGTGCCACTTTCCACCTTGACATCTTGGCAAAGAGAGATTCAGACTTGGGCTCCTCAGATGAATGCTGTGGTTTACTTAGGAGATATAACTAGCAGAAATATGGTGAGTATTTCTTTGTATCATTGAAAAAGCTTAGCAGTAAACAAGACTTATTTCATGCTCTTGTCTTCTGTTACTCTCCAGTATTTTGGTTAGGAATGAGCAAATACTGTATGTCTTTAGAAAGCAAAGTGTGAGCTTAGATTTTGATCTGATGTAAACATGTGAAAAATTTCCTTCCTACTAATTAATAAAAACGATTAAAAATGCAAATTTGAGCTTGAGAATAAATTGTCTTTTGCCATGGGATTATTTAGGTGCTTGAAAAGGTAAGCCAATCATGATCTTAATTTGTGAAGGAGTAGTGTAAGTAAACTTATCCATTAAAGTTAAAAAAAAAAAAAAGTTTTACAGAAACTTTTTGCCGTTTCTTCATAAGTTTAAAAAAACATCCTGGGATCCTTAGAGAGCTTGAACTTGCAGTCTTGCATATGTTAGCATGCTGTGCTTCTGTTTGGTGATCAAATTCTTGTATGTCAGTAAACAATTACATTGCTGTAGTGCTTGAAATCATCCCAATCAATAAGACTATTTTTCTGTAGCTTACAGTTCACTTAATTCTCTTTGTAGATAAGAACTCATGAATGGATGCATCCACAGACCAAGCGATTAAAATTTAATATACTTCTAACAACTTATGAAATCTTGCTGAAAGATAAGGTAATCACGCTTATTTCTTCAGGGAGATACAGTCACTTGTCCAGTGCAGAACTCCTTTAAGGTTACACATAGTTGGGTTCTGGATCTCTAAATGGATGGGGAATTTGACAGCTTTGCTTTTGAAAGTAGAACAGTATAGTTTTCTTCAAGTACTTTTAGATTTTTCTGTATATATGATGAGGCTTTATGCCTTTTTTTTTTTCCCTCCTCATTGAATGGGTGACACTTCTTTTTTTTTCTTCAGTTTGTTTGAGCTTCTCATTACTGTAGTAATCAATTTCCACCTTGAAGCACTCTCCTTCCTTATAGACCATCATCAAGGAACTGAAAAAACAAATCAGCCCACCACCCCTGACATCTGTGATTCAGAACTCTTGAAATCCCGTATGTTTTTCCTTTGTATGGTAGTTTCCATGATGGTCACACACAGTTATCATTAAATCTTCCAACAGCATATCAAAATTTTTATGGAGAGCCAATGAGCAGAACGTTTTTACTTCATTTGTTTCTATTGAAACAAATTCATTTTGCTCTATTGACCTATTGTTCTATTCTAAATCTTCATTTTGTTCTATTGACCTCTTGAAGGAGGTCAATAGTAATTTCTTTCTGTTAACGTGAAAATTAATATAGATCAGATTTTTGGCCTTTTCTTTCCTTTTACACTTAGCATATATTTCCTTGGGATGCTTGCATAGCCTTTTGTTGAATCCAAAACATTTAGGTGTCTGGATGCATAGGTGTCCATGTTTTGTTAAAGTAAAGTGATGGTATTTGTAGCCTGGTATTAAAATGTGAGAAACTGCATAATAGGCTTATTAATATAACGTTTTCTCTCCCCCCTCCTCACCTCTGTTTCTTTAAGTCGTTCCTTGGTGGTCTGAATTGGGCATTTATAGGAGTTGACGAAGCTCATCGTTTAAAAAATGACGATTCCCTTCTGTACAAGACTTTAATAGACTTTAAGTCTAACCATCGTCTTCTTATTACTGGAACTCCTCTGCAAAACTCCCTCAAGGAGCTTTGGTCTTTGCTTCACTTCATCATGCCAGAAAAGTAAGAGTTTTACATGATCTGTGTTAATTTTTTCGAAGCTTCTTACTATGGAATATTGTAGCGATTGGGAGAATCACATAAAACAGTTTAAATATTTTGTATAAAGCAGACATGCACATTTTTCATGCTACTGTTGATAAATAATTCTGGTGGCGGTTGTTACTTTTTTCTGTTTTACTGATCCGCAAAAAAGATGGATTGATGTATGGATCAGAATCCTGAAAAAATATTTTATCCTAGTCTAAAAGGGAAACCTGGTGGATTTACTTTGGGGAGATGGCATGGAGCTGCAGATACCGTCTTTTCTCTTTAGTACCGTTAATGAAAACAAGTTTGTACCAAGATGCCCGATACCCATTAGTTCAATCACATAGCTAGTTTGCCCATGTGGTTTACCTACAGTAAGTGTACTGTGTTGACCTTATGTTGTATTGACTTCTGTTTATGTCTAGGATAAATGAGAACTCTAGGCACGCGTTCTTATCAGATACCTTGTAAATGCAAAGCACTATAGCTCCAATTAGTTTGGGAGCTATACTTTGCATTGACTTCTTCAGAACCTTACAAGCACAGCCAATAAAGTTGTTGTCTAGCGCCCATTCTTCATCTGATCACAAAGTTCATTCTCTTAGTCTGTTAGCATATATCAGAGGGTATTCACCTTTCAGCATACAAACTGCAAAAAAGTATGCAAAGTGGTCTGTTTTCATGCGTTTTCTTCCAGCCATACAACTATTTTTCAGGTGGCTCTTGATAAATAGGATTTCTGCAACCATCTGTTAGGGTTTCCTTGCAGATGAGGTAAAATGTTTAGTTTCCAGTGGGGAAATTAAAATTCAGTAGTTTAGTTCTAATTCTGCAAAAGTGTTTGGAGACTTCCATTCTTCTATTTACAGAGAAGAAGGTACTTGGAATTTCTTGTGCGATGAAAATTAAACCAAGGGAGTAGGGAAGAAGTCCATATGTGTACACGCATGTGTGGTATATTTATGGGCTTTGTGTGTTTGTATTCTAGTTCTTCTTGACTACCGCTTCTTCAGGTCATTCACAGTACATCACTATTTTTATAGTGATTTTCATAGTGACTTATTCTCTCATGTTGAAGGTTTTCTTCCTGGGAAGATTTTGAAGAGGAGCATGGCAAAGGGAGAGAGTTTGGTTATGCAAGTCTTCACAAAGAACTTGAACCATTTCTACTGAGAAGAGTTAAAAAAGATGTAGAAAAGTCTTTACCTGCTAAGGTTGAACAAATTTTGAGGATGGAAATGAGTGCATTGCAAAAGCAATATTACAAGTAAGAAATGACACTTTTAAAATCCTACTTTTTAAAGTAATATATCTACCTGCAAATAACTGAAGTTTCATAGTTTTTTGTGATGCAATTGAGCTTGAAGCAAAAAAAGTAAAAACCTAGTATCTTTCAGGATTTTAGCACAGTGAAATTCCGTGGAGCAAAGGCTTAAGAATTACACTGGTCTAACCTCTGTTCATTTAGCTTCTATTGTATGGTGTATTTGTATGGTTTTTTTGTCAGGAGCTGCTTTTTGTCTTCAGTTTGATTCTGCTTTGAGAGCCTGCATGTATCTCAATTCCACAAAGGATTAGAAATTATTTACACTGTACATTCTATATCATAGGTGGATTTTAACAAGGAATTACAAAGCTCTGAGTAAAGGTTCAAAAGGCAGTACCTCAGGCTTTTTGAACATCATGATGGAACTCAAGAAGTGTTGTAACCATTGCTACCTCATTAAACCACCAGATGATAATGAATTCTATAATAAACAGGAGGCCTTACAGGTAATACCGCTTTGTTTTTTAATTTAAAAAAAGAAAGTAAGTTCTGTTTTACATCTGTAATATGTATGCAGTAATTTTATACTGTGGAAGCAATTTATTTGTTCTTATTAAAGTATATTAAGTAAAAACAAGATCTCTATAAAATGTGCATCCTGGGTTTTGCAAGTTAAGTAAATTAATTTTTGTTTCTGAATTAGAACTGAATAATAGACCATTACTAAATAAAATATCCCTGATTTTGATTATAATCAAAACAAAAAGGAAATAGTTTGAAATAGGCTGTATATTTTCAGACAAAATAAACTTAAGACCTAGATCTGTTTAAACCTTGTTTAAAAAAAATAGTTAAACTGGTAACTGTGATATAAATACAAATGCATGGACTGGTAGTGGTACATCAACAATCCATGTGATAGCTCAAAGTGATCTGCAGAATGTTTTTAAGGTGTTGGTTGGTTGGTTGGTTGGTTTTTCTTTTTTTCTTTTTTTTTTTTTTTTTAATAATGAAGCACTGTTCTCCGTATGCCTCCAAACAGCCAAAATGAAAGGAAATAAAAAGTGACAAACATCCAAAACAGTCTGATTTTTGCTGTTACTGTTATAAATGAAAACTGTAGCATCACTGCTAAGGATGGTCTGTGATTTTGTGTGTGTGTGTAGGTTAACTAATCTTTGTACTGTATCTGTTGAGAATCATTTGATGCAGTTTATACCACCATGAAAGTTTGTAAAGTTTTTTTTTTTTTTCTGTAAGCTTTGAAGTCAGCAATTTAAATACTTTTGGGAAAAGTACTGGGTTGTGCAGTGACGACTTGTGATTTCAAGCTGTTTAATGTTATAAAGTATTTATAAAAGCTAAAGGATACTTACATCTTGGCACACTGAATTACCATAATGGAACTCGTCAGAATTGTTCCACCATTCTTTCTAATAACTACATACTTTTAACAATGACTTCTTTGGCCCATCTTAATACGTTTTGTTAGCTCTAGTTCGGAGCAACTTATCCTCCTCCTTTTTGGCATAAAGAATAGAAGTGCCAAACTCCAAATTTTTCATTCCCGAAAATTGTATCTTGAGCCATTTCAAGCTAAAGAGGCCTAAAATATTCAACATTAATTTGCATATGCACTGGAGTTTTTGTTCTAGTTATTCCCAGTGGAGCTGGGAAAGCTTAACATTGTAGCCTAAAGCCTGTTAGACTCCACAGACAAGGTTCTTCTCACTTTATCTGGCGTGAGGGGTTTGAAGGATAGGCATTGTCTAAGAACGCTTACAGGATCAGGCAGCAGTGCCTGTCTCTGTTCATAAGATGGAAAGTGAGGAGAAAGTAGTAATAAAGTAGTCCCTTTATATATAGATATATATATATATACACACATACACACGCACACACATATATAAAATCTCAAGTGTTTTGCTGACTACAAAAAGTTATTGTTTACTTGGCAGAAAAGCACTTGAGACTGCACCTTAACTGCACTAATTTGTAGCCCAGTATATTTACTTAACACCTTGGTGGAATGTTAAGATGCTGTTTTATAGGCAGGAGCTGAGAAATGCATTTCCTTAAAAACATGCTAATTCATACTGCTGTTGATTTCAGTTAAGGTACTCGATGCTTTTATAATGCCTTTCTACAAGATCCGGACACTGGCTAAATACTGATTAAACTTGCACGTTCAGTTAGTGCTGCGTAGTTGTAAATCTGTATAGCAGTGTAGTATGGTCACTGGAATGCATGTGTTAGTAGTAGGAACATGTCTATTGTGTGCACATATTAAAATATTTTTAAAGGAATATCAGAATTTCTATCATTCTTCTCACACCGGTAAACAAGAAAGCAAACTTAAAAGGAATGTTTAACCAATTGCAGTGTGTATTAATGTTTGGGTGAACTTATTCTGTAATATACATTTACATTGTTTTTGTAGCATTTAATACGTAGCAGCGGGAAACTAATCCTTCTTGACAAGCTACTGATTCGTCTCCGAGAACGTGGCAACAGAGTTTTGATTTTCTCTCAGATGGTGAGGATGCTGGACATCCTAGCAGAGTATTTGAAGTATCGTCAGTTTCCCTTTCAAGTAAGAATTTTGTTGGTTGTAGCTAAGAAGCCTGCTGTCCCTTGTCCCCTGCCTCCCCTTTTTTTTCCTCTATATAAATGTATTTTTATGTACAGGAAGCCTGGCAATTGCTGCATGCTAAATGGCATTTTGAAATGGAACAGATGGAAAAGATGATGTAAAATGTTACATTGCTGGGTTTGGGATTTTTTCTTTTCTCACATAACTGTTCTAGTAATTGAGAAATTCAAATTGTTCTGATTAGAATATAGTATAAGAGTTTCTTTTTAACTGTAGTACTTAATCTCTTTAGAGACTCGATGGGTCAATAAAAGGGGAATTGAGGAAACAAGCACTGGATCATTTTAATGCAGAAGGATCAGAGGTATAGTATGAGTTGTCGTTATTTTTTTCTCCTTTTTTAAGGAATCTGCTCAGCTTTATTTTTCTTCCAAAGAAATATACTAAATAGCAATTTAGGGAAATTACCCAGGAAAATGAAAATATATCCCTAAGAAATATAACAAACATTACATAAAAACTGGAGGCTGAGAAAAGTGATGGATGCATCTGTAAAGTTGACGTTTCCTTCTTATCGCCTAGAATACAATTTTTACAACTGTTAGAATTTTTTTCTAAGATGAGGTTAAATAGGAACACAACTTATGAAAATGATGTTTAATTAATATAATCTGTAATTACAATTACTTTGACAAAGAACACTGAAAAAATATTGAAAGTACTGTATAAGCACGGAAAAATGTAGCTCATACAATTTTTACAAGAGCACTGTACTTAGGCAAGCCTTTAGCATCAAAAACAGCCTTTGGAAGTGGGCAGAACTGAGTTGCATATATCCTTGCATGAAGTACAACCATCTTCAACTCTGGCTTGTGTTATCAACATCTGACTCTTAGTTCTTTGCCCTGGAAGAGAATAGTGAAGAACTGATTTCTAGCCTACTTGTAATTTTATAGGTTTCTGTTATAGCATCTTTCTTTTCTGGGTTGGAGGATTCCCAGCTTATTTAGTATTCCTAATATGGAAGCCATGCCATGCCTTTGGTCATCTTAGATCCCTGCCCTACCCTGGCAGGGTTTTTTGCGATAATGGAAGGATAGCATATGTCAGTTACTGCTTAAGTTTTTGCTACGGTTGAGGAGGAAAGACTTGACTGCATAACATTAAACTGCAGATGCTTGTGAAAAACAGAAGTTTTACGTTTCTAGTACAGATATCATTGCCTTTTTCTGAAATCTTGCCAGTTCTACTGTACAGCTTTTGAGATGAAGGGGGAAATCCAGACTTCACACAGTAATCAAGAATGTAGACAAACTGCAGACACATGCAGCAACAAAATTATGTCCTCTGTTTAGTCTCTACTCTTTTGCTGATAATTCATAACATTTCGTGTGGCTTTTTGACTGTTACTCAACTGAGGTCTCTGCGGAAATATCTACCACAGCTCCAAGTACCAGTTCTTGCGTGGTAATGATTTGCTATTACCTGTTTCTGTAGGTAAAACTAGGATGTTTTTTTCCAGTTTCACTTTTATCTTGAATTTCATATGCTGTTCTATGCCTGTCTCATAAGATCCTTCTGCAGTCCTTTTTAGTTGTCCCTGAATAACTGTGTATCGTCATGTGCAAATTTTGTCAGCGTATTGTTCATCCCATTTTCCTATTGAACAGCACTGATCCAGGCAGAACGCTTGCTTCCTGTCTCTTATTTATCCAAGGGCCTTCCCTCCTATGCCATGGCTACTTAGTTTTCTTTAAAAATGTTGATGAGGTACTTTTGGCACCTACAAGACTTTTAACAGCAGGTTGTTTTGAACTTTTGGCTAGTGTTTTGTTTGATGTTTTTTTTCCCCTTCTCCCCCCACCGCCAGTTTGTTGGTGCTCATCTTCTAGGGTGCTGCTTCACTTAAACCACAGAGGAATAAATAACTGTCCACAAGGCACATTGATATCACTGTTTGTTTCATCTTTAAAGAAATTCCTATGGAAGAGGTGTTTGATAGCATATGAGTTCATAGTCTGCTTCACAGAACATATAGACAAGTGTCATATTGGTTTCCTGAAGAATATTAAAACTAATATGTATAAAGCTATTTCTTATTTTATGATTGCAGGACTTCTGCTTTTTACTGTCTACCAGAGCCGGAGGATTAGGTATAAACTTGGCATCTGCTGACACTGTAGTTATATTTGATTCTGACTGGAATCCACAGAACGATCTGCAAGCGCAGGCTAGAGCCCATAGGATTGGACAGAAGAAGCAGGTACGTACCTTTCAGCTTTAAGCTCCAAACGTGAAGGAGGGTTCCACACAGTAGCTGTCTGTTTTGTATTTAGGGGCCATGACAGTCTTCATGTATTTCAAGAGTAGCTAATATTTGATTAGTGTGTCTAAAAATGTTAATAGTGCTCATCCAATTTATTTATTTCAGCCCCCATATATGGGGAGAGAGTATGACAGCTGTAGGTGTATATGGATGGGGAGGGGAGTTGTGGACTTGTCCCATATTCATTGGGACCATGTCATTCTAGAAAATAACTATTTCTTCAGGCACATGCCCTTTACTTAGAAGTGAAATATTTCCTAGTTCTTTCCAGGTTTCTTTCCTGCAGAAGACATCAAGTAATATATCAGAAATAAGACACTTTTGTTTTTGGCCATGCTTATGCCTAATCTCTGCAGTTTATAAAAGAGAGGTCTGAGAATTTATTTCTTCAATTTTTAAATGGGTTATGTAGAGACTACAGTAACATGACTGAAGAAGTGTCTCATAAACGAGACCAGTTAATAAAACTCAGAAGATTTGTAGTCAGGACTGACATTTTTTCCCTCTTGTTGCTTAAGGGATTTTTTGTTAGCTTGGTACTTTCATCAGAAAGTATTGTTTTTATATGTAATTTGAGAAAATGTAAACAGAGGTGCTTTTTTTTTTCTCCCTTTTTTTTTAATATACATAGGTTAATATTTATCGGCTAGTCACAAAAGGATCAGTAGAAGAGGATATTCTTGAAAGAGCCAAGAAAAAGATGGTGTTAGATCATTTAGTAATTCAGAGGATGGACACTACAGGGAAAACTGTGCTACATACAGGCTCTACTCCTTCAAGGTATATTTGTATATTCTTTTATATCAATTTACCCTTAAGTATATTCGGCAAGTAAGTAAAAATGCAAGTTACTGAGCTGGTTAATAAAAGGCAAAAAATAGGCAGTAAGGGTTTGTATAAGACAAGACAGACTGCAAAGTATATTGCCTTTGCACATCTTTATTTACATATTAAATATAGCTTCTTTTTTTAAAGTGAAGTAGAAGCTTGATTTGGAAAAATTCTCTAAGATGTTTTTCTGAAATTCCTGTATTTCAGCTCAACGCCCTTTAATAAGGAAGAGTTATCAGCAATTTTGAAATTTGGTGCTGAGGAACTTTTTAAAGAACCAGAAGGGGAAGAACAGGAGCCCCAGGTAAATGGAACAGTGCTTCTACACTTGATGAGTATAACAGCCAAAAACATATATAAATTATTTTGTTATAAAGAGAAACTTACTCTGTTTCAGGAAATGGATATAGATGAAATCTTGAAGAGGGCTGAAACGCGGGAAAATGAGCCAGGCCCATTAACTGTAGGAGATGAGCTGCTTTCACAGTTTAAGGTATTGCTGTGATCCCTCCCTCTCTCTTCCTGTAACTACACTTCCCTTTATTAATGCTACTGTTCTTTTTTTCTTTTGTGTACCTATCCGTCTTTTCTTGTTTTTGTGAAATAGATGCCACAATAAGTCAATACTCTGTTTTTCTCATAAAATGCCATTTCACCTGTACAGAATAATTACAATCAGGAAAAAAAAAATTTAAAAATACATAGTATATGTATTTTTTGCATATATTATATATTTAACACATAAAGGGGAAAAATGATATATTTACAAATGTATTAGC